TTTCATGACTCATACATGTAGAGAGGAAGTTCGGCCATGATTCACCCAGGTATTTGCACCCCAGATATTTCAATATCCATCACCACTATTTTACTAGTAGATTAAAAGCCAGCCGGTGTGGCTCAGTGGTTGAGCACTGACCTCACGGTTTGATTCCCGGTCAGGGTTAGGGTTGATCCCCAGTGTGGGGTGTGCAGGAGGCAGCCAATCAATGATCCTCTCATCATTGATGTTTCTACCTCTCTCTCCCTCTCCCTTTCTCTCTGAAATCAATATATATAGTTTGTAGCTATGTCTGGATGAAAAAAGTATTATGTTTTGTTCTTTTCTATTTTTATGTAACATGCTTATTGCAATCAAACCCTACAGAAGAACACCTAGCCACATCTGTCTCCACCTGCATTTTTTATGGTTCTATTACATTTATTGGGGTGACATTGGTTAATAGGATCATATAGGTTTCAGGTGTCTCCTGTATTTTTTGAGGCACAAATACTTGCCTCTAAAACTTTATGTTAATACACCAGCACACTTCAAGGCCTGGCCAGCTATGGCCAGCCATCACTATAAAGGGCAGTGAAAAGAAATCAATAAACCAGGACCTGCTGGTGGGAGGCACAAAGAGAGGGGAGAACGGAACCCCAGGCCCTCAGCTATAAAAGCAGAAAAGCCCCAGAGAGTGCTAACTTTATGAATAAAAATGCACGGCTCACCCAAAGAAGAACCAGTTTCCTGAATTCTCCCCCTCTGCCCAGTTACTGATGTCAGTGCCACCCCTGTTCCGTGCACCCCTCCCCACCATCTGCACGGATAGATGTTTAAAGCTGCTGCTGGTCTGTGCACCTCATTCCGGAGATGTCAGAAGGCACCCGGACAGGCAGCTCCAGCGACCTCCTCTGCAGGCTCCCCGAGTCCTTATCCCGTTGTAATTTGGTTCCGAACAGTCTGTCTCTCCAATTCTAGGTTTCTGAGTGACTCAAATGTTATCCCTAAAGATCCTCAGCAAAGCACATGAGCTGACTATGACCTGAACAAATCCTCTTCCAAGAAGAGAAAAATGATGCCTGTCACCTTTAAAAAGCCAACCAGTCAATAATAGAATCACGGGCTCATAAGGAAGACAATTATTTTTCCCCCGTGATGCAAACCAGAGCATTGTTTTCAAAAGAGTGTTACAATTTACTTCTCTGACATCTTCACATTAGATGCTGTGGGCTTAGCGGAGTCTCAAGAGCAATGAGTATTTTGTTCTGTGTCTGGTTATTATTTGTACCAGTGAAGAGTCAGATTAACTAGCAGATAGTAGAGACCCCTGAAATTCGGACACAGAAGTTCAAGGTTTTTACCAGAGGGGAAGCAGGGAGTAAGGAAGCGGGAGCCATGATTTCCAATATTTTCCCTATGAAGAGGCCCTGTTTATTTCAACGAGTTTTAGGGCGCTGGTTAAAGATGGCAGAGTAAACACAGCCATCAGCCTCTGCTCCCACAAAAATGGAAAAGAGACCCTACAACTCTTTTCTCTTTCCAAAACCATCATGAGTTTGGGGGGGAGGGAACAAACACACATACACGCTTTTATTATTTCATCCAAACAGCCTTCAGAGAAGTGGCAACCAGGTATGAGACAGAGACGAACAACAGAAATTTGAGTTAATTAAAACCAAGAGGAGAAAAAACCAGGCCAATCAAGGGGTGTGCTTTCACTGTGGTTGGAAGAGGGAGGGAATGAGCAAAAGAAGGTGAGCTGGCCAGACCTCAGCAGTATCAGGGAAGCAAATGACAACCAAAAGGGATCATTAATTCGCTCAAGGATTGAGCACCTACTGTATGCCAGGCTCTGTGCTGGGGAAAGTAAACGCAGTCCCTGCCTCGTGGAGAATACAGCTCAGTGAGGGAAAGAAAGAAGCAAACAGGTGATAAATGATGGGGCAAAATCAGCGGGGGCGGCCACAGGAGCACACAGCGCCAGGCCTGGGGGTGGACAGGAGCAGGGCACGAGAGCAAACAGAGAAGGCAGGAGTCAGTGCTGGGGTCGCGCTCTCCATGGTGTAAGCCAGTGATGGCGAACCTATGACACGCGTGTCAGAGGTGACACGCGAACTCATTTTTTTTGGTTGATTTTTCTTTGTTAAATGGCAATTAAATATATAAAATAAATATCAAAAATATAAGTCTTTGTTTTACTATGGTTGCAAAGATCAAAAAATTTCTATATGTGACACGGCACCAGAGTTAAGTTAGGGTTTTTCAAAATGCTGACACACCGAGCTCAAAAGGTTCGCCATCACTGGGCCATAAGCCCACTGGACAAGCCCGGGAAACGCTCACAGCCTCAGCTGTAAGAGCGGAGCCTCAGGACTCAGGCACCGTGCCTCTGTCTCCCACGTGGCTGCAGCTATGATGCAGGCTGACAGGAGTGGCTGTGACATGACAGGGACTCAGGTATGCAGCTGGACAATAAAAACTGAAGTTGCAATAATGAGATTTGTTCAAAATTTCTGCAAGAAAAAAACCGTCTGCACTGAGTTCCCCCTGCGCGCGCACACATATGCTCAGGTCTGCTGTCCCTAAACACACACACACACCCACACACACACACACACCCCTGACCCATGTTGTACATAAGAGGAGCCTCCAAGCATGGCAAAACCATTCTTGGGGAATGGTCACCAGTGTCATAGCCTGCCTGTTGCTCCTGAGAAAAACTCTGACAAATTACATCAACTGGACTTTTCAGCTCCAAATCTGCTCTGACACAACCTCAGGGGCATTTATAAGATGTGACTCAAGAGGACCCTGATGCGGTGGGCGATGTGTCCACCACTTGTTTGGTCCACCATCCACCCTCCCCGTCCAGCACCTCGGCTGCTGCGGGCTCTCCTCACCAGAGACCTGTTAGGAACCACTGAGCCATAGCCACCCAGGCAGGTCTTAGGTTTTCTTTCAACTATAAGTTTTCCTCCTGGCAGTCAGAGGCATTCTGTGCAGGTCCCACCCAGGCGCATGGGCCAGGCAGCAGGTGCAGTGCAGTGAGGTGTGCAGGGAGGTGGCTCTACATCTGTGCTTAGAAGGAAGGGCCTGATGCTCACACATCCATGTGCCCCCCCACCCAATTAACTCTAGACTTCCCAGCAAACCAAGTGGTAACGTCTCCTCTCAATTCTATTCAGCCTCTGGCCACATGGGTCCATTTGGTGACTTCCTACCTTCTTCCAATGGGCCCTTGACATTAGCTTTGGCCTGATCTCATGAGGATAAAAATGCTGGTTCGTCAGGGACAGGAGTTGAGAACGGGAAGCAGAGAAAGTTTATACTGTGATTTGTCTTGAAGTCTCTCCGAGCCCTGGTTACAGCCTTCTGTCCAGAGACGGCCCTGACCGAAATAATAATGGATTCTTTTCCTAAAATAATCAATGTCATGGTTCAGGCTACATCATTCTCTGCTGTCGCCTTAGAAAACCAGAGGTATGTTCCAAACTGGTGGTGGCTGTTTCTCCTGCCACTTCGTGCCACCAGTGCCTTGCACACAGCAGGCACATGTGAACATTTATTGATGCTACGTTAATATGGACACTCAGTACCAGTGTCTGCGTGTAGAGAAGAGAAAGTTTCAAGAAAGCAAAGGTCTAGAAGCACCAGCATGGACTGCCCCATATAGGGCACACCTCCCCATGTGACTTCTCCAGGGAGCCCACCCAATGAAATCAAACATCAATAACATAAATATGACTCCCATCCTCTGGACCCTTTCAATGTGGGACCCTCTTCCTCTCTAGGATCCCATGGGGAGACCCCTGTGGGAAAAACATACTTTCATCCTATGGATTTTGTTTGAGGTCCCACCCTTTCTGTAGGAAGACGTCATTTGGCAGCAGAGACTTGGGGGGACCAGATGGCTGGTAAGCAAGAGGCTATTCTCAATCCAGGGCCAAACAGGAGAGCTGACAGCCAGAGCCTAAATTTAGTTTGCAACCTGGTACCCAACAGTATAAAGTTAGAAACTCCCTTGAACCATCTGGCTCTTTTAAATAAACACCTGTCTGTCCAATCCTAGAATGGAAAGAAACCTCAAAGTCTAGCTCCCTTTCCAGACACCACATCTGTGCCATCCATGGTGCCTGGATGCTGCAGCCACAGGAGATGCTTAACATGGACCAGTGGACTGAGCCTGGATTAATGGCCGCCAATCCTAAGGATCTTAAAGGTCTTTGGACCTTTTCTGATTCCACACCTCTTCTGCTCTCCTTTTCCCTCCACCAATTTCTTTTTTTTTTTTCCATTACCCTACCCGTGGCTAGAATGCACACACACACATACATACATACACACACACAGTATGTATCCCTATCTAAAATGTCTCAATGTATCATTGTCCTTCTGCCAACCCACTCATAACAGTCTTCCCTTCTCACTGACATATACCTCTTCACTTTTTAATCATCTCTCTTTCTCCTTTAACAGCAATACAAGTCATCTGTAACCCCTAAAAATCAACATTCCACCCCTTCTGTGAAGTCACCACCCCTAAAGATTAAGAAATATGCTGTCACCCAGACCAATCAATGCTATCACCCCATTTCCAATCACAAGTAAGTTAATTTCGTAATATAATGAAGCATTTTTATCTCTTTTTTAAAAAGACGAAAGAGGTGGAACACAGAAGGTATTATTAATAGAAACATCCTTTGCAGCAAACCTGTTTGCTAACACCCCAACTGCACAGAATCAAGCTGCCTCTGCCTTTGCTCCTGTCAGGTAAGGGCTCCCTTCTCCTCACCTGCCTGGCGGTTGGAATTGCCAGCAAAGATGGCACCGTGACTCATACTGGCAAGAGACGAAGGATGGTTCATTTTACCAAGGTACTTTCGGTGCCACCTTGCAAAGTGTTTCAGTACTCTGATAATTAATGGGGAAGCTGGCAGGCACTTTTTCATTCAAAGACACTTATTTCTTAAATAAAACGACATGCAAATGTTAACATTTATTAATTACTTGACTAGCTCACAGCAGGATAATTAACTGACTTCAAACGCTGAAAAGGAGACTGCCATCTTTCAGAAGCTGCAGCACTGGGTCCAAATGAGAGTGTGAAGCAGGAAAAGTTGTCTCTTCAAAGCATCCTTTCACAGAATCCTCCCCACATCTCACCCCCATGGCTGCTTACACAGTGGGCTGTACTCAGTCTTCCCGAACCCTTACACACCAGAGGCTCATGAAGGGGGAGGTGTGGTGGGAGTAGCTTGCTGGGGGGAGGGAGAGCATTTTACCGCATGTTTAGAACTGCCAGCACGCGGTGATGATAAAAAGCAGGCCAACTTTTAGTTACTGTCTTTCAGTTCTCTACAGAGACACACCCTCTTACTGCCGGCTAGCACTGACGTGACCAATGAAAGCGGATGGCTGATATCAAGTGGCCAAGTCATTCCGCCTAATTGGTCGCTGAGTGCCTCTTTGTAATGGATGCTGTGAGCAGAATGGGCCAGCCTGCATTTATTACCTGGCTTCCATTTGCTCCCCCAGTCTTACAGAGAGCCCTGGTAACACTTTAGGTCCCAAAGAATCAATTGCAACTCCGACTGTGTACTGAGCTTGCATTGAAATGTTAGAACATGTCCTCCCCCCAGTAAACAGTTAGTGACTCACGTAAATGGCAATAGGTCGCTTTGGGGGAGGAGTGGGGAAGGACCCGGGGTGCTGCGGGGTCCTTCGATGGCAGAGACCACGGCAACCTGGCCTCCTCCATCAGTTTTGGGTCTGAACACTGGCTCCTATCTGGGAAGCAAGCAAAAGATTCTGACTTTTTCAACTGTGACAGGGGGCCCCGGCCTCCGGGTCACCCACCCTGGATTGCTTTGGTTGTGTATATTGATCAACATCCGTGGCACCCGTCTGTCTCGCCCCTAGGGATCTTGCCGCGTGTTCTGTAAGCCATCTGAAGTGTCTGGTCCCGTGGCTACCACTCCAACCTTGTCTCTCATTACAACAATAACCAGGCTCCGTCTTGCTTTGACAAATAAGTGCTGTCTCCTGGCCTCTGTGGTTTTGGGAGTCTACCGTCTCCACTTCTGTAAGAGAACTCAGTTCCGTGGTAGCAGCTCTGGCCTGTGGAGGAGTCACCGCTGAGCGTCTCAGCGATGCTGGCGCGCCTTCTCTTCCTACCTTAGTGCTCTGGTAGCAGTGCTCTCAGATCTGCCCACCAAAGACAGTCCTTGGTGAGTTTCCAGCTTTAGACAGTGTTTCCACTCTAGCGCGCCCACTTCCCTGAGCCTCCTGGTCCCTTCTTCCACTGTCTGCCACAGCATTTCCACTTCCACTTCCGTTAACATGACCCATCGCTTTTCCCAAGCTTCCAAGAACCGTTCTAGCAGCATATCCGCACCGTCTCCCAGCTCCTGCCAATAAGTACTCGTGTGGCTCCTTTAGGGACCAGACTTTCCTCCCTCAACTGCCGCATACTTCCCCAGCCAGGCTATGTTAGGGCCCAACCCTGTTGATAGGCCTGCTGGTACCATCGTGAAGTAAAAGGGAGTGCTGGGCTTTCACAGAGAGGGGTGGGTTACTTCTGTGGGCCCCGAGGGTCAAAGCGATCTAGAGATTCAATACTTTATCCACCCAGATGTCCCCAGTGCATATCTCAGGATGTCACTCTGCCCCACTCAAGGCCCTGACCTTGGAGTAGCAGGCCTGACAAAATTGAGAATTCGACCTCCGCAGGGACACTGCTACTCTGATCATTCAGATCTGGGCCTGGTCCTCGGCTTTATTCTGTCATCTGGCTGTAGCCTTCACACTTTGCCTTTAATTGATGATTCATTCATTTAGCCTTCATTGTCTGTCTCCAATGCCTTGATTGCTCCTGTCTACAGCCCCCCATTCCGTCTTCCTTTTTTAAATTACTCTTCCCCCCTCCTGGCCAATGCATTTGTTTCCATTGGTGTGTTCCAGTTCTCCTGGAGGAATGTTTGAGAGCTGCATCACTACAGCTCGCCAGGGGCAATCATGGTCCCCTCCATCAGCGATGGGACCTCATTGACAGTCTGATGGAGGGTGATCAGTGCAGGTGTTCAAAATAGGTTTGGTGAATGGATGGTTCATAGGATATATGGCTATTGGGATGGATGGGTGGAAGGATGGATGGACAGATGGAGTTCTACTAAATCCCACTTGGATAGCCTGAGAAATAGCTGGAAACCACCGTCATTTCCTAGCTAAGGATTTTCCTTCCAGAAGAGCACTGCGTGATCAACAAGGATAGAAAACGCAATCCTGTGGGGACTTAGTGATCAATCAGTGAAATCGCAGTTGAAATGAACAATCATTACCCAACTCTAAGATGACATCGAAACACATCTGAATTCTGATAAACTTCAGTTGGACTCAACGGTCAGTCGGAGGAACCAAAGGAGACCCTCCTTCCGATCTGAGGCCGCCCGCCCCTCCAGCCCTGGAATCCAGTGGTTCTGGGGATCTAGGTCACTTTCAGCACTGCCTCTCTTAGGATATTTCTGGAGCAATTACCAGGCAAAGCCCAAGAAAGAGAAGGGAAAGGGAGCGTGTCTTAACATCGGACACCACTGGCATTGTTTTCAGGTCAATTCAGGATTACAGGCCCCTGTGTCTTCTTCCCCGGTCATTTGTCAAGTTGCCAGAGGGGCCTGAATGTCTGCAATTGTTAGGAAATCTTGCATTTGTGGAGATCAATACCCTTTTGTTCATTCGGCCTGCAGCATGGAGACAGCCTGGCAGGTATGAACGCAGGTAGGCCCCGTGGGTCCTCATCCTTCCTCCGGCTATCAATTACCACTTGAGCAGCCCGAAGAAGTGGGAGAATGTCTATTTCTGGCTTACGATGGTCATAGGCGCTGTTGCTAAAAATACGTGCTCCATCCAGTGTCCTGCTGTGTCCTGGGTCAAATTTGCCCCATCACCACAGGGAAGAGACTGGAAAGAAGAAGGAAGGGAGAAGCCATCTTTTTTGTGATTCTAGAGGTGGCAGCAGCAGCAGCAGCAACAGGGGCAGTGACAGCAATGACTAAAGCAATAATCGTGGTGGCAGCAGCGATGGCAGGAGCGAGGGAGGGCTCCCGGGCCCCTGACCTGGCAGCCAGGTCCAGCAGCAGCCTGAGCAGACGTGGGCTCTGAGGACTCCGTGTTCCCTGGGCGCCCAGCTCGAGTGGCAGAGTGGCTCTAAAAGGACCAGGCTTTGAGTACCTCCGCCCCCTGTGTGCGCTTCCACTGTTCCAAGACCTTTGTTACCAATTTCCTGTGTCCAATTCCCTCTGTTTAAAAACACTAGAGTTGTTTTTGCTTCCCAACTACACTAATGCTCCGCTCCTAAAATAGCCCCAAGAAACTGATTCAGAGACAGAGCTCTGGACTGGCTGTCTGAGCTGACTTCACAGGGGGTGGGAGGGAATGCAGTGGGCAAGGGGCGGCCGGTGGTCCAGGGCATGCGAGGCACGTGGTCACTTCAGGTATCACTGCTGGCTGCTTGGGATAAAGTGCGCATAGAAGGCAAGGCTCGAGGAGACCAAGGGGAGGATGGAAATGACCGTGTTGACGGGGATGATGAATATAAAGGCTCTGTTTGTGCGGCTGCTTCTGAACACACTGGTGAGTTCACAGAAGAAATAAAGACAAACTCAGGGCTTTAATATCTCAGCAGATGTTGGGGTTCGAGAACCACAAAGCTTCTACCACAGCAAACGGGAATCTCTTGTCCCTCACAGCCACAGAGCCACTCGAGCTAAAAAGGCAGATGTCACGTCTGACCCTGCTGGTTGCAAAAGTTATAATGACCAGACTCAGCAGGTTTCTCATGTGACCGATGCATCTATGATCAATCAGCCAATCAAGTGACTGTTCTAGGTGTTGGGTATCGAGGTGAACAAGCCTAAGAGCACTGCCACCCTCAGCGAAGTCCCTGGGAGGAGCCACAGGAAAGGCATTCCAAGCGGTGGGAGCAGCCAGGGCCGGGCACCGACATGGACCGGGGATGGGCTTGGCTAGGAAGGGTGAGGCCGTGTCCATGGGGGCCCTGAGCCACTTGGTGGAAAAGTTTCAATGTGTGGAGAAAACAGGAAGCCATTGAAGTCTTCTTGGCTGGAGAAAGGTCTGATGAGTCCAAACAGGGGTAGCAAGTTGGATTGCAGGGGATGGTGATGGAGGGTGAGAGGTAGATACAACTTTTTTTTTTTTTTTAAAAAGGATATTGCAGTTTACAGAGAGTGAAAAGGGAACAAATCATAAAAAAACTTATCAAATTCCAAGTTGCCAATGAGAAAAAAACAGTAAATCTCCAAGCTACGAACCAGCGATCTATGAGAATCCCATAAAAGGGAAAAGCCAGTTGCACCCTGTGCTTGTGGCTTCCCTGCTTGCTTCTGTGGCAGGGCCTGCCTTTCAGGAGGCAGCAGCATGGCCCGTGACCAACAGGGAAACCTACATCCAATGAATAGCTGCTTCTTCTTTAAAGGGAATTGGGCATTTTGGCTGGCTCAGCTCAATTTTTTCCATGCCGGAAACTTATTTCTCATAGGCACATACACCACTCTCCCTCTTTCCTCTCATGGAACTTCTGCTCAATTACCCCTGGAAAATGTCCCTCCTTTTTGGCTCCTTTTTCTTCCATTTGTGAGCCAAAGAAAAACGACCCTAATGATGAATGATAGGTTTAAAGTGGTGCCAGGGATACATCCATATGAAGAGGAAAAAAAAAGGTCCTACATTTGGAGGGGAGAGTCAATGTCGTAAAGAACCAATAGCATCAAATGTAAAGGCCTGGGGAAAGGCCCAAATTTCCCTTCATCCTCTTCGCTACAGTACCAATCTATATTTTTATTTTCCTTTCATTAAATCTGTTTTCTACAGGCATTATCGTTTAGCAAAAATGAAAACCTTTCTTGATCAAAGTTCTGGGATGAGAGATTCAATTACTTACATGAATGCTAATATTGCAGTGGAAATGCTTTCTTACTAATTTTTCTTGCAAAGATACAATATGGCATCAATATTACGAGTTTAAGTGGCTTTAGTGGGCAGCCTGGGTACCTAATTGCATTTATAATGGCATTTTTATGAGAAAATGCATTATATCTTTAAACAAACAGACTTTCAAGCTGAATTCTGGAGGTCTCATATTTGAAAGTTGAACACTGCTTAATTCAATAAAACATTCCGATGAGAAATACAAAGTTATGTAATTATTTTAAATATAGTCTTGCAAAATTCAACATGCATGTTTAATGCATGTGACTTTCATTTCTCACTATTTAATTGGTTTTGGGAAGCAGCCAGTCCTTTATTTGTTGTCTTCAACTGTCATTATGAATTCTGCTAGCTCACCGAGTGATAAAAAGATGAGCTGGAGTTATGAGTTATGTATGGTGCATGAGCTTCCTAAATATATTTATTAATGCTCCTTAAATTATCCTCAGAGCTGGGTGCCTCTCTCAATTTAGAGCATCCTCTCACTTGGCTGAGCAGCACGATCTCACTTTTATTGTTCATATAGCCAGATGCAGCTGCATTTATTTACATTTTTTAAATGAATGAAGTGCCTAACTTGTTGACATACTGGAGAGTCTAAAAATTCCCATTTCAAGTCATCCTCACAACCACATCCGCATGGGTGGCAGTTGAATTAGCCCCACTTTGTAGCGGAGTTGGTTTTCAAGAGAAATGGAGTGAAAATGAAGGGTTTCAGAAAGCCTTGCTATTGGGTGACACGGAAGAAACTATTTTGGTTACATTTCAAGTTCCCCAACTGAAATATCAAGTCAAGGCCATGAGACAAAACCTCAGGAGCAGAACGGAATGAGGGTGCAGCTGCACTTCCTGTCAGACGTCCTGCCCCCCCTGCATCAGCCACTTCTCCAGTAACTAGATTATCTTCCTCTGAACTTCTGACTTTGGTGAAGAATAGATCAGAAATTCTGAAGTGATGATACAAACGTCAAGGCCAGCCTCTCAATGCGCCCCACTGTATGATCTGAATAGTATTCATTCACTCACTAACATACATCGGGAACCCACTGTGTGTGGAGCCCTGCGTGATGGGGCCACAGGGATACAGACGTGAATTAAACTCAGAGGATACAGAGGTGAATAAAATTCAGTGGCTGCCCTTGAGAAGCTCGTGGTCTGGAGGGCAAGCAATTAGCTAGAGTATAAAGCAAAGTGGCAAGATGGACTATAGCAGAGGAGTAAGCAGAAGAGTGTGGAAAGGTAAAGTGGGGGGTGGTTAATTCCCCCCACTAGGAGGCTCAGGGAAAGCTACACCCAGAGGTGGATTTCAAGGGAAGGGAGGAAGATTCCACAGACAGTACAAGTGAAAACACAGAGGTCTGAAGGCAAGTTCAGGGAAGGTTGAGGAGTGCAGTGTGACAAGGACGGGTGCAGACACAGGCACGATGGGCGATAAAGCCAGAAAGGTAGGCTGGGGCTAAATCTAGACGGTCTTAAAGCCACAACCAGGAATTGAACCAAACACTTTTGGGGCAAGAAGGAGCCGCTGAAGATTTTAAGGGGGTAAAACTATCTCACCTGTTATAGGGCGATAACTCATGTAAGAATACAGAAAATGGGCTAGAAATATGTTAGGTCAAATCTACTGAAACAGTCCAGAGGAGCATTAGTAAGTACCTAATTAGAGTAGAACCCATGGATTGGGAAGGAAGTTCAAAGGAAGATGGGGGGGGGGGGCTTGGCAACTGATTGTTTGGGTGCCAAGAGAATCTGGAATCTAGAGAGAATGGAAAACAAGCAATGGAAGATGACTGAGGTTTCCAGCCCAGTGACAACGAGGGTCGAAGTCCCAATAGCCATGACAGGTCAATATGGCAAGAGAAGACTATAGTGGAAAGCGAGGGGTCGGATTAAATGCGATCCGTTGCGGTGACTGCTGAGAGATGCACGTGATGATGTCCAGGAGACCCCTGGAAGTCTGTGCTCGCCACAAGAAATTCAGCAGTGGGTATAGGTAGGACCCCCAGGAGGGGAACCTGAGCCAGAAGAGAAAAGAGAGGGAGATGAAACCTGGAGGAAAGCTCCAGGTGGAGAGTTGAGCAGAGAAGGAACCAGAAAGCCTCAGAGGTGAGAAGAGCCAGATGAGCGTTCTGGGAGCTGAAGGAAGGAAGCCTGGGGAGACTGGGATTGGGAAACTCGCCCAATTGGAAGCCATTTGAGATGCTACTTGCTGTTGCTATGGCCACAGCAGACAAACGAGTCAGGGTCTCTCCTTAGGAATGGGAGGCCGGCCCCTGGCTCTCCTCCATATACTTGTCCCCAAGAGACTCAGACGCACCTCCTCTTGGTGGGCAGTTACAATACCAAAAACTACCGCCTCCAGGAGACCCCTGTGGGGTGAACTAAGCAGAGAACAAATCCAGGAGTTTGGCAAAGCTGAAGTGGCAAACTTTTCCCTCTCAGTTCATGTGTCTGATTTCTTTTCTTAGGCCCTACTTTTATTACCTGGGTCCTCTACCTTTCGTTGAAGAAATAAAGTCCCTTTCGCCTGTTATGGGTGGAACTGGCAATGCGTTGCCACACAATCCATCGGGTTGGCTGACACTGTGCAGGCATCTCCCTGTGGGCCATGCTACGTCGCTGCTATTGGAACTGTCGCTACACACTTTATATGTGTTCTGCACCCTGCTTTCCAGCTAAAGAGCATTTGTCCAAGTTTGATTCATTTGCTTCTCACCAAACCCTGGAAGAAGCTACTATTTTGCTCCCCCTGATTCTCACACTCAGAAGTTCCTTGCACTGATCTCTCTCTTGGGGTTTGATGCAGCTCATCTTCCCAAGTCTTGCTCCAGCTCACACTCTCCATCAACTGGAAGCGGACTCACCTCCGCGTTTCCTTCGCGCATGGGACTTGCCTCATCCCTAAGCCAGTGTTTTCCTTTTGGCAACTCTGGCCTCCGATTTAACAAGACCCC